ATAACACCGGAGCCTTGCTGCGGGGAAACTTTGGCGGTGTTCTGAGTTGTTCTAATCCGTCAAAATGACGGACTGCTTTCAGATTTTTTCGTCATCGTCAAAAGAATTCCGTCATATTCCACACCCACCGCTTCAGAGACGGAAACACCCACACCCACAGTACTGTCACAGACAGACGCAGAACTTAACTGCAACTCACCACTCTGTCGCATCGCAACCGGGTGCCGGTCTTTTGGCTTTTCCACAGCAGCTGCCAACTGCTTCTTCCGAGCTACACACTCTGCCACTAGATGACCAGGGTCAAGACAAAAGAAGCACAATCTCTTTTTCTTGGGTCCTGGAAGAGAAGCAGAATGAGCATGTGTGGCACGCCTGTTGCGAGCTTTCCGGAAACCAACACGATGAGGAGAATCGCTCTGAGCCGAAACACCACTGTGCATTAACACCAGCTCATCAGCCATGGTGGCAGCCTGCTGCAAGGAGTTTATTTTTCGTTCATTTAAAACAACAACAGTATGTTCTGGGACACAGTTTTTAAACTCCTCCAGCTCTATGAGATCACAAACTGAAGTTAAGTCGTCAGCCTTTGATGCCTTACGCCATCCGTTGTATAGTTTTCTCTTCTCTATTGCAAAGTCTACAAAAGTTTGGCCAGGTGTTTTCTTTAGGCTACGAAAACACTGTCTATAAGCCTCAGGCACAAGCTCATACACTTTGAGAATAGCGCATTTAACTTTTTCGTACACAATACAATCTTCAACAGGAAGAGAAGAGCAAACCATCTGAGCCTTACCAACTAATTTACACTGCAACAGTATGGCCCACACATCTTTCGGCCATTGCAAAGCAGCAGCAATGCGAGAGAGAGAGAGCGAGAGCGCGAGAGAGAGCGCGAGAGAGAGAGCGAGAGAGAGAGAACTGCGGCACGTAACATCGGGTCACGGGTGTTCCAAAGTCTGGATAAAAGCCGCTCTCACACATTTTATTTCAGGGGGCAATATTTCAAAAAGGTAATGCTCACACAGGGACATGTGATAGAGAATCGGAGATATCAGTGGGTGCTGGAGCAGCAAACAGACATTTGTATACCATAAGAAGGATTCTACACATCTGGAAAGCCAGTGCAGTGTCGCTTGTACAGAAGTCATGTGCTCTATTTGTCTTCTTTGTTAAAAGCCCAGCAGCGGAGTTATACATCAGCTGCAGTTTCTTGTTTGACTTATTTGACTTCATAAAGAGACCAAGCTACTTGAGATGAACGCAGGATAGAGCATCTTGTTTATTCACAAAACACATGCATTTTGCCACTATTTCTCTAGTAGAAGAAAGCTGTTGCTGATAACCTTGCTTACAGTATATAAGATTGATAAAACAAGTATTGGCCCATAGATTGGATTTTCTTTTTATTGTCAAATATGGATTCCTGATTGAGATATTCAGTGTCTTTCAGGCTTTTATAAAACAACAAGGACCCAACATTTTGTTTTTGTTCTCTTTGAGAAGGTGGTGTTGCATGCCGTTCACTGTTTGATTCCAGCCAGCCCTTTCCTTGCTGACAGCCACTTCCCTTATCCCAAAACATCCCCATCTAACACACTCCCTTCTCTTGAACCAGAGGTCATCAGCATGTCTACTCCCTTGTGTCCTTTCTATAACCCCCATGTCTTCCTTTGTGACCTTATTCATGTTTCCTCATCTCAAAACAACTTACTTTGACAGTCACATGACATGTTTTGATACAAACATTGCACCTACCTCTCCCTATGCCCTGGTTCATTTCATAGCATTTGATTATGAGAGGTGTTTTTATTGCTCAATATTCCTCTTTAGTCTGGACTATCAGATGTGTTAGGGGAGACAGGAGGATGTTCTGGAATGAAAACACATTTTTCCAAACTCACACACACACACACACACACACACACACACACACACACACACACACACACACACACACACACACACACACACTCTCTCCAGCTGGGTGTTTCCTGTTGGCTGCCTGCCTACACACACAAACATGTAGTTGCACAAGTCTGGGTCACTCTGGACCTTAACCTGCTATCACCAATTTTTCATTTTGGGCCAGACATGACATTTTGCACCACTAGTGGTAAGCATCAACAGTTCTAGAAACTGTCATATGTAAATGTCAGACCAATTTTTATTTTATTTTGAAATGTTATGAAGATTTGCACCCTACATGGGCACTGGCTGATGCTTTGTCTCAACAGGCAAGTTAGGTGACATGCGATGTCAGTAGCTTATATGGCGCCGCTAAGCAGAGTGCTGCAGGGTCATCATCCTTCACAGCAAAATAAGGCAGTCGTGCAAAACTCATTTTGCTAGGTTGCATTGTTCATATGTGGGTGTTTAGGCACAATGGCTGCAGTGGTTTTAGTGGCCTCTGCTGTCATTGCAGGGCAGAACAAGCTTTGAGTGTGTTGACATGAAAAGTAAATCTTTAAATGGGCAACATTGTCATACTCCTGGATAAGGAAAAATGTGATGTAAACAAGGCATGGCTCATACATATAAACAGTAAATATATCATGACAAGTACAAAGATTGTTATCTGTGTTTTATACAATATACAGCATAAGCTAGAATACACTAAGAGATACATAAAGATACCATTTATTTTAACAAACATACTATATACATGTGCAAGTAGTTGCCGTTTTTATTGTATTAAAATGTTAATGGAGTAAGTTTGTGTGTGTACACATTGTTCAGGGTTATGGACAGAGTGGAGTCTGGTAAAGACAAATAAATAAGGATCATTGGTGAATGCTTGAGGCGGCAGAGCAGACAGCAAGCGGACTAGAAACCCAAGACGACACCACCTGTCACTCAAAGCAGCCATTAAGCCTCAATATAACTTCAACCAATATGAGTACAGTTAGCCCTAAGGGGAAAAGCATTATTGTATCAGACTGTAACATGCTGCTGTTTCTAGTGCTCCTGCAGCACTTGACAGTAACACTGCCTTTTGTACAGTTATTATTATCACCATTCAAAGTGTTTGTCTTTTTCTCTGTCCCACTAACCTCCCACACCTCATCTTGTCTGTTACAGGAGACCTTACAGCAGTTAGTCCTCATGCCCCTTCCCAACATCCTCTCCATCGCCAAGGATCCAATATCAGGTAACACACACTCTCACACATCAGTCCTACATATTTGCATGACCTTCCTTTCTGTGCTTTGATAGACATGTATTATACACATGTATCTTCCTATGGAGCATTGCATGTATGACCAGTGCAATGTTTTTTTTCTATTTCTTAATGTCAGCCTGTATTGGGATGTTCCCCCTTTACCTCTTGTTATACCGGCTACCATCGGATTTAGGCTATATATTCACCAACTAGTTTTCCCTTTGATACAATGATGTATTACTGTTATCATTTAGGTCATGTGCTAACACTTGTATTCAGCTTCATCACAGTTGCTTGTGTTTGGTTTCCTCTAGTTAAGAGCATGGAGGAGCTGAAAAGTCTTCTGTTGCTGGTACTAGGCTGTGCTGTCCAGGTAACGCACTCACACACACGCCCAAACACAGCTGCTCACTGTACCACCCAGTCTCCCAGCAGGAAGTGTATCTGTCTGTTTTGGTTTGCATGTCTGAGCACAGCCGTTCAGTGATAAGGTGCAGGGTGGGACTGCACCATCACAATGAATAGAGTTACATCAATAATACCCAATCATAAGCAGTGTAATTGTGGTGCTGAAAAATCAAAAGGTTGGGTATTGGTCAGCAACATTTGACAAGAGCATTGCACGAGAACCCTTTACAGACAGTTTGTATTCATCCCATGTAGTAGATGTTAAGTTAACTTATCGTTTCATTACAAAATATAGATAAATCTTCACAGGAAAGTCATTAGGATAGATCCTCTAAGGACCATGAATGTTATTTTATAGGAATATGTAAGTAGAAATGTGTTTAAAGTTAACACATTTGCCCGTGTAGACCAGCACATTTCAAAAGATATTTGAAGCATTAATTAAGAATCATCCAGCTATGGCGAGTGTTTTGGGTTAACAATAATTAAAGAGGAGGGGCAAGTCCTGTGGGAGGGGGGTGCAGGTGTTTTCTGTCTGTGTTTGTTTGTCCGGCTATTACCGTAGTTGTCTCCGATTTCCACTTCTCCCATGGCTCTGAACCTACCAAAGGGTTTTTTGTAGGGATGCACCGAATATTCGGCCACCGAAAATTATCGGCCGAAAAATGGCCGATAAGGGTTTTAGCACCGAAAAAATATCACCGAATGTCAGAGAACAGGGTTACGTTGATCATACTCCGCATATTTGTCCGGGTGTTTTGATTTCAAGTGGTGGAGTAATCCGGAAGTGGTGAAAGTCTTTGCAGTTACACCCCCTCGAGAAATGTCAGCTGAACACGTTTTACAAATCGCAATCCGCGCCTCTCTCTCTGATATTTTGAAATATCTCCAAGCGGCAGACATGTTGGCTGTGAGCCAGCCGCGAGCATGGTCGCGCGCCGTGCTTGTCGCCGCGTTTTGATTACGTCATCACAACAACACGTTAGGTTACCAAATTTATAGGTGCATTTGTTGTTGTTGAAGGCCTGGCTGTTACAGTCTTTATTTACACTATTTTGGTGTAGGCCTACTGGCCTAGATGTTTATGCAGTTTTAAAGCACCTTGGCTTTGTTCTGAATGCACTTTGTTGTAGTTATCCTACAGAGAAAAGAAAATGCACTTGACTTGGAATTAATGTACTGTATGCATTCAGAAGTGCTGAATAAATGTTTTATGGACCCATAATAGTGATTATTATTTAAGTTAAGTTTTACCATAATCATGTCTTTTTCCATAATCAGGTAGCTGAACAACATTGGTAAAAAATGTATACAATATATATATATATATTTCTATTAATCATTTTCGGCCTTTCGGCATTCGGTTTTCGGCCAACTGTTTCCTATTTTCGGTATCGGTTTCGGCCAAGAATTTCCCATTCGGTGCACCCCTAGTTTTTTGATGTTGCTTTTTCTCTTATCATTTTCATTTGCTTTGGTCTGTTCTTTTTCTCCCTCCATTACAATACATTACAGCTTTATTTGTAGAGTACTTTAAACCTCCAGACCAAAGTGCTGTACAGGCAAATAAAGAAAACAAAACATAAACACCATAAAACAAGTACAAGTCAAAACAATAGACCATTTCAAAGCTCTAAAAGATGTCAATACGGCTCATTTCCCTCCCGTTCCTCCCTCCGTGTGTCTCCCTCCCTGCCTGTACTGGTTCTACTAGTTCCAGGAAAAGGGCCATGAGAGAGCTATAATGGAACCACAGAGGGAGGGAAGGAGGGGGGGATAAAGCCACATGTTTTTAATGTTGTTTACATTTACAATTGTTCCTCCCTCCAGGGGATCAAATAAACATCTTCCATTTAAACTTGCATTCTTTATCATACTATATTTCCCATAGTCCTGTGCTGCTCGAGACCAATGTTGGCAACAAATAGAGACAATAATGTTCATTCAAATGTGTCTAATGTTCTGCTTTGTGTCTGTGTGACAGTGTGAGCGTAAGGAGGAGATGATAGAGAAGATCAAGCTGCTGGACTTTGACACTCAGGCTGCGATTGTCTTTCACATCCAAGAGGTCAGTAGAGCTCAGTGCTACACTATCACAGAAACATATCAGTGATAAGTGCACACCTCAGATTCAATCATTTGTTCTGGGGGTTTCCCTATTCCACTGAAATCATCACTAACCATCAATTACAAATACCAACAGACTAGTCCATGTATCAACCACCTCTCTTTATCAATGGATGGAGTTGTTCCCGATCTGTCATGTGAACGGTTAAATTATCATGTGAACTCATCCTTTTTTTTTTTTTTGACAAATGTTTTTATTGTCTTTTTTCAGTTACAGTACAAAAATACAAAACAAAACACATCAATAGGCACAACAATAGGCATATAAGGCACTTGAAAAAAAAAAATGCAGATATTAGTGGTATAGTGCTGGTTTGATAACTAACTGTTACATTGTGTTTTCCTACGAAACGTAAAGAATGAAAAACATTTTACAAGCATCCACATGTTCATGTGGACATCAGTTGTATCCCACATACAAGTATTTCCTCAATACATATTGTGATTTGTTAACAAAACAAAAAGCAACAGAACTAAATAAAGCAAGAACAACAGACTACCAAGCTGTCACGAAATCATCCCCCTCAAGAAACTGCATAAATGAGCCCCAAATCTTTACAAATGTGTTATATTTCCCTTTAATGGCATATGTAAGCTTTTCCAATGCAAGGCATTGCAGTAGCCCTTCAATCCAAATTCGTTTGCTTGGTCTATGAACAGACTTCCATGATAGTGCAATTTTATGTTTAGCTTCAAGAAGACAGAATATGACCATCTTCTTACAGCTATTGCTAAGCGTACAGCTTGTTGGGAAACGACCAAGAATACAAAGTTTGGGACAGAGTGGAAGTTGTT